CTGCCTTGAGAAGAAGTTAAAAGGGGGAGATGGGAGGATCCAGAGTTTAAGGAGCTAGTGAGACTGAGGCCAGCCTGGGCTACCTGAAACCATCTGTCACGAAACAAAAGCAGGGAGTGGCGGGCTGGCTCGGCAGGTCCAAGCCTGACAACCTAAGCACCATCCCCAGGAGTGTGCAAAGGTGGGAAAATGAGGGGCTCGTCCTCCAGCCTCCACAGGCACACTGTAGCACACGCAACACACAAAGGGATAATAAATACCCAAAGGAAAAATTAAGAGCATTATCTTGAGACAAATACATAAAACAATTTTATTTTATTTATTTTTTTTTTTTTTTTGAAGCAAGGTCTCACTATGTAGACCAAGCTGGCCCTTGAACTCACAGAGATCTACCTGCTACTTCCTCACAAATGCTGGGATTAAAGGCCTGTGCTACCAGGTCTAGCTAAAAAGAGAAAAAGAAAAACATAAAAAAGGCCAAAGACAGAAATAAAAAGGATTAGGGAAGAAATGAGAAATAATGAAGACGGGCACAGAATATCCACCTTATAGGTTGCCACACACCCCTGGAGGGGCAGGGGGAGGGGCATGCAAATGACAGGAAAAGCAGAAACGGTGACTTGGAAAACACCCAAAGACACAGACTCACGTATTTATGAGTTTCAGTGTGAGGCCAGAAGAAGGCACGTGGAGCTGCAGTTTATTCTGCCCAGTGTGGGAGCTGGAAACGGAACCCAAGTTCTCTGCAAGAGCAGCAAGTACTATTAACTGCTGAGTTCTCTCAGCCCCTCATGGAAATGTAAAAACTGACTTGAGATGTCTGGAAAGATGGCTTAGAGGTTAAGAGCACTGTCTCCTCTTTCAGAGGTCTTGAGTTCAATTGTCGGCAATCACATGGTGGCTCATAACCGTCTATAATGATATCTGGTGCCCTCTTCTGGCATGAAGCTGTACATGCAGACAGAATATTATATACATAAGAAAAGGAAGAAGGAAGGAAGGAAGGAAGGAAGGAAGGAAGGAAGGAAGGAAGGAAGGGAGGGAGGGAGGGAGGGAGGGAGGGAGGGAGGGAGGAAGAGAAAGAAAGAAAGAAGGAAGGAAGGAAGAAAAGAAAGAAAGAAAGAAAAGAAAAAGAAAGAATTGGCCTGTGCAAGTTAAATGGGGCATTTTTTGACTAATGACTGATGTGGGAGGTCCCAGATCACTGTGGGTGGAGCCACCCCGGGAAGGTGGCCCTGGGTTCTATGAGAAAGCAGAGGCTGAGCAAGCCAGTGAGCAGCACCCCTCCATGGTCCCATGGAGTTCCTGACTCCCAGTTCCTGCCTGCCTGAGTTCTTGCACTGTGGACTACAAACTGTAACATGAAATAAACCCTTTCCTCCCCAAGTTGCTTTTGGTCATGGTGTTCCATCTTTGTAGTGAGAAAAAGACATGCAGGGACTTGGGACAATGTTTCTTCTAAGCCCTTTCTCAGGAAGAGTCTGGAGACAAAGCATCAGAGATCAAAATGCCGACACAGCAACTGGGAAAATGGCTTGAGACAGCCAAAGAAAGAATACAAAACCAGGTACCACATCTTAAGGCGGCACACGAACAGATAAGATTAGGATGCCAAGCCATAAAATCTGGCTCCAAAAAGCAGGAGAGAGGACAACAATGTGGAAAATCCAGGCACTACATTTTCACCTAGTGCAGGCGACAGCAAGCACGTCCACTTGCATAAACAGCATACAACTGATTCCCCAGGGACAGGAACGGCGTGAGCTACCGAGCTATGTGAGAGCAAGGATAGAGAACTTCACTTTTAAAAGAGCTTTATTTTTATTTTTGATTACATGAATGCATACATGTCCCATGTGTGGGTACATGAACGTTCTTGCTGATGGAGGCCAGAAGAGGGCACTGAATCCTCTGGAGCTGGAGCTATGGGTGGTTATGAGCCACCAGACGGGAGCACCAAGAACCAAACTCAATCTCTGAAGGAGCAGCTTGTGCTCTTGGCCACTGGGCCATCTACCAAGCCCAAGAAAATCTTTAATTCATGAGTGAAAGGTAGGTAAAAAAAAGTCAAGCTGTATAAACTTAGTAACAAGGTAGGTGGAAGGAATATGTGAATTAATAACATTAAACATTCCTAAAATGAGCAATTAAAATCACCAGATGGAGGCCAGACAGTGGGAGCACAGGCCTTCGATCCCAGCACTTGTGAGGCAGAGGCAGGGGGATCTTTGTGAGTTCAAGGCCAGCCTGATCTACAGACCAAGTTCCAAGACAAACCAGAGCTACACAGAGAAACTTTGTCTTAAAAAACCTAAATAAGTAAATAAATACAATAAAATAAAATTTCAACTTCTCTGACTAGTTCCAAAATAAGAACAGAAATGTGGGAACCCGACCCCTCAAGAAAAGTGATGGACAGCTGCTCACGAAGCAGTTCATTTCAGAAGATAGCTGACATAGGAGCCTGTGCAGAGCTCACCCAAATGGCCACAACCTCTATGTTCTTAACTGGTATACTGTGAACTGCTGGTCAGTCAGTCAGTCAGTTTGTCTGTGTGTGTGTGTGTGTGTGTGTGTGTGTGTGTGTGTGTGTGTGTGT